TCCTTCCTTCCTTCCTTCCTTCCTTCCTTCCTTCCTTCCTTCCTTCCCTTCCCTTCCCTTCCCTTCCCTTCCCTTCCCTTCCCTCCCTTTCCCTCCCTTTCGCTACAAACTGTGTTGTGATTTGGGAGCTGACCTCCTCTTCCTCTGTCTCCAACCAAAATTGTGTAAGAGAAGGGAGGGGTGAAAAGAGGAATCAGCCTGGAATCCTTACGTGGTCACAAAGGGTCGACCTCCAAACCTCCTTTAGTGCCCTGGGCGCTTAACCAAAAAGACCGGCTGTTACTTGAGAAGATTCCGTCGTTTGAGCTTCTTTGGAATAAATCAAGTTAAATTGAACCTTCGGGGGGTGGACCTGGCCCACGGCGCCTGACCAGTTCCCATCATCCCCAGCCCTGGCTGGGGCTCCCCTGCAGCAGGAGAAGGAGGAACGCAGGCTCCCCACTTCTCAACCCAGTTGAAGCGCACTGGTTCCATTGCTGTAACCACCCAGAAGGTTGATTTCCAGCCTGGCTCGTCAGCCGCCACGTTTGACCTTGTTTTCCTGTGCTCCCTCTGAGGGGAAAGGAAGAGGAGGAGGAGGAGGACCGTGGCTAACCGAAAATCAATGCGCCCTCCGTATCCAATAGGTATTAGAATTTAATAGCATTATTATTAGTATTATTATCGGGAGCAAAATCTCTCCTTCAGTCGATCGGCAGGGCTGTAGCCCTCTCCCCACCCTCATCCCAATTTCTCCCCTTGCACTGCCCTCCACCCACCCACCCAATTCGGGCTCAAGGGGGCAACTCAGACGGGACTTTTTGGCAAGGCAGACAATCCAAACCGAGTTGTCTTTTTTTTTTTTTTTTGGGGGGGGGGGGGGGGGGGGGGGGAGAGACTTCCAGGAAGACCCCCGAAATACCTCAGCGCTCGCCTCCTCTGGTTTACAATGCCTGAACATGGAGGCTTTAAGTCAAGTCTGCCGAGAGTTGGGACGCTGCGGAGGTGCGATTCGGTTCCCATCTCCAGACACACAACGCAGGCAGCCGAAATGTGAGAATCTTCTTTCTCCTTGGCCGATTCTCCCCTCAAACACACACACACACACACACACACACAAACCTTCCCCCCCCCCCTCCAACGCCATTGTGCTTCTCCCCGCAGGATTTAAACCTGCCCCCCCCGCGGTCCCGCACTTTAAAAGAAGTGGCACTCTTCTCCTCTTTCTGTCTTTCCTTTCTTTTTTCTTTTTCTTTTTTTTTTTTAAAAAAATGTAATTAATTCTCTCCGTTTCTGAGCCGGCCCCGAGGGCATCTGGCTGTGGAGATTCACGGCGCAAATGTGCATCCTTTACGATAAACGGAGCTGGCTTTGGCACACGGCGCGCAGAGGCAATCACACACCATCGGGTTCGGGTTTTATTGCAGGACTGCGAGTCGGGCTGGAAGGGTGGGGGGCGGTTTGGGGTGGGTGGGTGGGGGGAGCTGCAGAATTGGGGTCCCGGGGTGAGAAAGGAGTGAGTTCCAGGTTTTTAATGGGGCCAATCCAAACTCTGAGCTTAGCCTGAGCGCCTCGTTGGCAAGACTCTGGTTTGCGAAAAGATGGTTAAGTCATATTGGCGTCTCCCGCCTCTCTCCCAGAAACTTTCGAATAGAATAGAGCTGGAAGGGCCCCTGGAGGTCTTCTAGTCCAGCCCCCTGCTCAAGCAGGAGAACCTATACCATCTCAGACAAGTGGCTCTCCAGTCTCTTCTTAAAAACCTCCAGTGATGGAGCAGCCACAACTTCTGGTGGCCAGCTGTTCCACTGGTTAATTGTCCTCATTGTTAGGAAATTTCTCCTTAATTTCAGGTTGCTTCTCTCCATCCAATTCTTTCTGGTCCTGCTTTCTGGTGCTTTGGAGAAGAAGTTGGTCCTCCTGTTCTTTCTGGCAGCCCCTCAGATATTTGAAATATTGCTATTACGTCGCCCCGAGTCCTTCTTTTCTCCAAAACTAGCCATACCCAGATCCTGCAACCATTCTTGGTATGTTTATCTATAAAGCTTTGCGCATTTCCCGCCCCCTCACACACATTATTTCATCAAACTATCTTGATCTTTCATTGTTTGTGTTCTCTGCGGCTATTAAAGCTCTAAGAGGACACTCGGCACCGGGCAGCGGCAACGTTATTAGGAAACGGAGCTTCCAACGGTGGGTGAGGACAGCTGAGGACATTGTCTGTCAAGAAGAAACATCTGGGAGCCGAGATATTATAAAAGCCCAGGCGTTCAGACCTCCCTTCCCAGAATCCTTAGCTAGCAAAGGGGATTGTGGGAAGCCTGCGCTCTAGAAGGGATCCCCTCGGCCAAGGGCCCTCCAGTTCCTCTATTTTATTTTATTTGTCTTTGCCCTTGAGCAAGAAAAAAACCGGGTAGGCGATGCGCTCCAACGCTAGAGGAATAGAAGAAGGTGCGGAAGGGATATTTTCCTGCCGTACCTTCTTGCCTGCAAAGCCGAGTCGGATTTTCGGCTGTAAAGGGTCAATCCGTCCCGCAGGCCTTCGCCAACCTTGGCCGAGTCGCTCGACAAAGCGGAGATCTCACCGTCATTAGAGGAGGATTTTCTCGCACGCTTCCATCTCTGTCCCCCTTAATCCCCGCCGCGGATTCCTGGGACGGCTACCCTAGGCCCAATTTAATATTTCCATCTCTTGGCTTTATCCCTCTCTCCAGAGCTAAGTAAGTGCCTCCCTTCCTCCTCCTCCTCCTCCATGCTAACACCCTCTCTGCCTAATCAAGGGGAATCTTTCTTTATCCCCTCGGCTGTGTTGCGTTGTGTGTGAAAATTACCGTCCCGTCAAAAGCTAATAAAGTCCAAGATCCTTTTCTCTTCTCCCCTCAGACCATTTTTTTGGTGTGTGTCTGTGTGTGTGTGTGTGTGTCATTCAATTAAAGGGGGAGGTTCCTCTCTTTTCTTCCAAGGAGGCCAACGCGCACGACTTTATAAAAAAAGATGTTTGCAACACATCATCAGGATGTTGAAGCATCTCTAAAATAGGGGACAATTAGAAGGTCTCCCCAAATTTTCCCTTCCTGGGGGAATAGGTGGGAGAGGTGTTACTTGCCAGGTCAGCCAGCCTCTAAATGCTCCGTGGAGGGTCATGGCCGAGCTGCCCATCAGAATGGACAAAGGCCTGCTTTTTCTTAGCCGCCAAATCAAACCTACCCCACTGGACAACATTTCTTGAACCAGTGCCGGGAGACCAGATCTAGCGAGGAGGCAAATCGTAGCACTTCGTAATTCCTGTCTGTTCCCAACCTCCATCCGCGGAGGCGTCTCAAACGGGAGAAGGAAAAGGAAGCACGAAATACCTTTTGGGGAAGAGGTTGGCTTTTAAAACCAGAGCTGTCGAGGGTTCGCAAACG